AGGCTGAGTCATACCTTTCAAAGCCTCAGTTTCTTCATTTTGCAAAATAAAATAAGACCTATTATAAGAAATAAAGGCTGTGTGTGAGTGCCAGATTTAGTGAAGAAACTAAACAAAGATGAGAGGCCCTGAGTTCAAGCCTCAGGATCACAAAATAACAATATAGAACTGAAAGGCTGTACCTGTATTCTACTTTAGAGTCTGAGACAGGCAGATCACCTAAGGCCAGAAGTTGGAAGCCAGCCTGGGAAACAGAATGAGACCACATCTCAAAACAAAAAGAACAAAAAAAAGTGATATTTCAATGAGATTATTTGATTTGATTTGGTGCTGGTCCTGGGGCTTGGACTTAGAGCCTAGGAACTGTCACTGGACTTTTGTGCTCAAGACTAGCATTTTACCACTTTGAACTACTTTTCTACTTCCAGCTTTTTTTTTTTTTTTGGAATTGAAGATAAGAGTCTCACAGGCTTTCCTGTGGGTTGGCTTCGAACTGCAATTCTCAGAACTTAGCCTCCTGAGTAGCTAGAATTACTGGTGTGAGCCACTAGCCCCCCAACAAAGTTACTATTTTTGACGTTTTTCTCCCAGTAGCGGGGATCAAATCCAGGCCCATATACATGCTAGGCTAATAAGCTACCATTGAGTTACATCCTTAGCCCTACTCTTTAAACTTTGTGTATGTGTATATGAGTATGTGTGTGTATGTATGCGTGCATGTGTGCTGGTAGTGGGACTTGAACTTAGGGCCCAGGTATTATGTCTTAGCTATTTCTCTCACAGCTAATACTCTGCCATTGAACCAAGCTCCAAGCTCTGCTTCTGGCATTTTTTTTTTTTTTTGGTCATGGAACTCATGGCCTGGACACTGTCCCTCAGTGTTCTTTTGCTCAAGACTAGCACACTGCTACTTGAGCTACACCTCTGCTTCCAGTTTTTAGGTGGTTAATTGGACATAAAAGTCTCACAGACTTTCCTGCCCAGGCTGGCTTCAAACCAATATTCTCAGATCTCAGCTTCCTGAGTAGCTAGGATTTACAGGCGTGAGCCACCAGCACCTATCATTGCTTCTTTTTTGCTAGTTAATTGTTGATAAGAATGTCACAGATTTTTCTGCCAAAGCTGGCCTTGAACCTCTATCCTTAGAGCTCAACTTCTTGAGTAGCCAGGATTATAGGTGGAGCCACAGGGGTACCTGGCTTAAATTTTATTTATTTTTGTCAGTCGTGGGGCCTGAACTCTGGGCCTGGGCACTGTACCTCAACTCTTCAGCTAAAGGCTTTAGCATTATACCACTTGAGCCACAGTGCCACTTCTGGCTTTTTCTCCTTATGTGGTGCTGAGGAATTGAACCCAGGGTCTCATGCATGCAAGGCAAGCACTGTACCACTGAGCCACTTTCCCAGCCCCTTAAATTTCATTTTGAGACAGTCTCACTAAATTGTCTGGGATGGCCTTGAACTTGGAATCATCCTGCTTTTCAGTCTTACTAGTGCTGAGCTTATAGGCCTGTACTACCAAGATATTTTCTTTTCTGAAGATATTTTCTGTATCTTCAAAATAATTTGGCAGTAAAAATAGAAATGTTGTGTTATGACCACAGCTTGTTCTAGGACTATGTGTTCAAGGCCGACTCTGTCTCAAAAAGAAAAAGGAAAAAAGAAAATACATAAAATTTTCTTTGCAGTATTTTTATGATAATAAATATAATAGCCATAATCCTAAAGGCAGGTCAATTTAATATCCAGACAATTATATTTAATACTCCAAGGAGGGAATTTTAGTTTAATAGGCCTGGAGTAATTGATAGGTTATTGGATTATTGTTCTTTTTGTTTTTTAAATAAATAATAAACTGTATATGTATGTATTTTTAATTTTGTTATACTAAGCATTTATACCAGGCTTCACATATGCTTCATATATGCTAGATAAATGCTCTATAACTGAGCTACATACATCACCAGCCCTTTTTAATTTTTATTTTGAGACAGGTCTCTATAAGTTGCGCATGCTAACCTTGAATTTGTGATCTTCCTGCATCAACCTCTGGAATAGCTGCAATTGCAGGTGTCCACATTTACCGTAGTATGGGAAAGTACTTCCCCCTCATGTTTATGAGTAATTTACTTCCAGTTCTCTTCCACTTCACCTTCATTGGGCTCTCCTGTCTACTGCTATGCTACAACTGCACTGCTCAAAAAAACTAAACAAAAGTGAGAGGCCCTGAGTTTAAGACCCAGGTACACAAAACAACAATAAAATAATTAAGTAAAATAGAGATTTTTACTAGGTTTAATACTACTTTCACTCCCCACCCCCGTTTCTTTTTTTTTTTTTTTTTGGGTCCGGTCGTGGGGCCTGAACTCTGGGCCTGGGCGCTGTCCCTCAGCTCTTCAGCTCAAGGCTAGTGCTCTACCACTTGAACCATAGCACCACTTCCGGCTTTTTTCTTTTTGCTTATGTGGTGCTGAGGAATCGAACCCAGGGCTTCATGCATGCAAGGCAAGCGCTCTACCACTGAGCCACCTTCCCAGCCCCCCACCCCCGTTTCTGTCAGTATTGGGGCTTAAACTTAGGAACTCAGGGCCTTGCCCTCTTACTTGACTCACTCCAACACAGCTGTTGATGTATCCCTTGAGCCACAACTCCAGTTCTAGTTCTGGCTTTTTGCTGGTTAATTGGGGATTAGAGTCTAGAGGTTTTCTCCGCCCAGGCTAGCTCTGCACCATGATAATCACATTTTAGCCTTCTTTAGGATTATAGGTGTAAGCAACCAATTTGATTTGGCACATTTTGTGTTTGTGTGTGCATTTGTGTGTGTGTGTGTGTGTGTGTGTGTGTGCGCGCGCGCGCGCCATTACTGAAGCTTGAATTGAGGGGTTTCCTCTTTTCCTCTCTTAGCTTTTTGCTGATGGCTGGTACTCTAACAGTTGAGCAATACTACTTCCAGAATTTTGCTGGTTAACTAGAGAGAGTAATCTCTTAGATTTGTCTGCCAAGGCTAGCTTCAAGCCATCATCCTCCTGAGTTATGTCTCCTGAGTTGCTAAGATTATAGGTATGAGCCACTAGTGACCAGTTCTAATTTGGTATTATTTTATTCCTTATAATTTGGAGATTTTATTTCCATTATCTTCTAACAGCTATAGCTGCAGATAAAAATCTCTTTTTCTGCCTAATTATTGTTTTGTTTTTTGAGATAAGCCTGATTGTTCTTTTCTGTGATATTCTCTTTTACCTCGGTCTCTTTGTAAGAATTACCCTTTGTTTTTAGTGCTGTACAGTTTAAAGTTAGTAAATTTAGAAATAATTTTATTCTTCCCTTTTGGTTTTAGGCCTGGTGTGTTGCTCTTGCAAAAAACAAAACAAAACGAAACAAAAAATCCTAACTCTCACCTGTAATCCTAATTACTCTGGAGGCTTTGATCTGAGCATCCAGGTTCAAAGCCAGCCTGGGCAGGAAAGTCTGAGACTCACATTCCAATTAATCATCAAAAAGCTAGCTCAGTAATAGGGTAATAGCTTTGAGCAAAATAACTCAGGCACAGCATTCAGGCTCTGAGTTCAAGCATTCAGGGATACACACACACAAAACCAAACAAAACAAAAAAACTGAGGCCCAGTAATTTATAAATAGTAGGAATTTATTTCTCTCTTAGTTCTGGGGGCTGGATGGTTAAAGATTAAAGATGATGGTACTAGCAGGCCTGGTATCTGCTAAAGATCTGGTTTCTGCACCTTCATGCAAATGAAGGATTGTGCTCACACCAATCATAATGCAGTATTCCTGCTGGAGTCTTTACAAGCAAAAGGAACTGAAGGGGGGAAGGGCCTAGCTAGTTCCTCCCAGTGCTTCTGAAGGTTGCTGACTTCATTATTATTAGGACTTTACTTTTTTGTTGTTGGTGGTGGCGGTGGGGCTTGGGTGCTGTCCCTGCGCTCTTCAGCTCAAGGCCAGCACTCTACCACTGGAGCTACAGCACCACTTCTGGTTTTCTAGTGGTTTATTGGAGATAAGAGCTCAGGCTGGCTTTGAACCATGATCCTCAGATCTCAGCCTCCTGAGTAGCTAGGATTACAGGTGTGAGCTACCGGCGCCTGACAGAGGATTTTGCTTTAATAATCACTACTCACATCCCCCAATTCTGAACACAGTGACCATTGGAGTTTAAGATCCAGTATGAATATTGAGGAGACATATATGTTTAAGCCATAGCACCTGCTAAGAACTTGTCCTTTTTAGACATGAGAATTTTTTAAATAAATTCTGAAATATTCTTGACCATTATCTTTCCTATCTCTTTTCCCTCTGCTTTATTGAAGTATGGTTGACAAAAATTACATGTATTTATATTTATTATATACAACTTGATATATGTGTAAAGAACATTTAAGATACATTCTCAATGTATTTTGAGTATATACTATAGTATTTAAAATTATTGTCTTGATGCTGTGCATTTAAGAACCTACTAGCTTATTCATCTTACCAACTGGCTAGATGTAGTCCTTTTATTTTACCTACCCAGAAGTAGCTGAGAAGCAATTCATTGACAGTTCTGGATCCTTGAGTGCTTCAAGCATAGGAGCTGGACTGGCAGACAAGAAGCTAGGGCACTTGAGAGCTGTTGTAATTCTCAACTTCCACCATCAGGCATCACCAGCTGATGTTACAGCTGTTGTATAAGACTCAGGAGTTGACACCCTCCACTTCTACTGTGGCTAGTGTTCCTGCTCAGAGGTCTAGGCTGTTAGGACCCTTACACAATAACAGATACTAATACTATACATTTGGGGCCTATGGTTTTATAGGCATCCTTAGTCCTTTAGGTTTATCAGCACCCCCAGAATTTCTCCGGGTATTAGGATCCACAGTATCTCATCATCTATCTCTTCTGCTTCTTTTCATTTCTGTTCCCACTGCTCTGGAACTCTTCAGATGCATTCTTGTTGACAAGATGTAAGTTTCTGCCTTCACCATCACTATTGTCCTGACACCATCTCTACTGTCATCTTCATATTTCAAAGCTCATCCAAGTCTACTAATGACAAAAATCAAAAGTAGGTAAGAAAAGACCACTTGAGAGAAATCTTAAAGTGTAATACTACCAGGGCAGAGAAGATCTCCTAGTTAAAAAAGCAAGCTAAGTGGGCTGGGAATGTGGCTTAGTGGTGGTGTGCTTATCTAGCATGCATGAAGCTTGGGTTCGATTCCTCAGTATCACATAAACAGAAAAAGCTGGAAGTGGCACTGTGGCTCAAGTGGAAGAATGCTAGCCTTGAGCAAAAGAAGCTGAGGGACAGGGCCCATGCCCTGAGTTCAAGCCCCAGGACTGGCAAAAACAAAAAACAAAACTGAGCTAAACAGCCTGATAATGTAGGGAGAAGGAAGGTGTTTGCACTACCCTTTTGCATAACACTGCTTTTCATTCTGCAAATGGAAGATCAAGCTTTCACTATTCATTTTAACTTATGGAAATGAGGGATTGTACTTGTACCAATCATAATCTTGCTGGGCCACTAGGAGATGTTCTACCCCCATGGCCTGAGAGAAAATGGCTGTAGGGTCATCTCCAGTAAACTGGAGCTTGTGAAGGCTGTGCAAGCTGTTTGGAAGAGTCATGGCTAGCCGAGAGCTGGTGGCTCAAGCCTGTAACCTAGCTACTCAGGAGGCTGAGATCTGAGGATCATGGTTCAAAGCTAGCCAAGGCAGAAAAGTCTGTGAGACTCTTATTTCTAGAAGTGGTGCTGTGGCTAAAATGGTAGAGTGCTGGCTTTGAACTGAAGCATTTAGGGACAGTGCCTAGGCCCAGAGTTCAAGCCCCACAACCGAGCAAATAGTCATGGCTGAACTAGTGACTTCTGGAGCCAGAATTGTGGTTTGGCAGCAAACATTTATGGTTTCTATGTAGCTTCCTCCAAGCATTTGTATAGTGTTCAAAGAGGCAGGGCTGCTATTAAGGCTTCAGGCATAAGCAAGAAGCCTATCATATCTTTCTGGTAGTTCTTCCAGTTCTTTCTCCTATGTTGTAACATCTGTCACTTCTTTCTTGTATTGGTTTGCTCCCTGGCTGTATTCCAACCTTTTAAGAAACTTTTATTTAGTAGGAATTCGTTTTCTGTTGTTGTTCTCCTGCTCTGTGTTGGGCAAGTGTCATCTTCTTCAGATTTCATGCTTCGAGCCAACTATCTGACCAGTTCTTTCATTAGTTTCTCAAACTGGTCCCCTACATTATACAGGTAAACTGCACTTGGGTTTGATACCTACATACTCTGAGGACCTGGGGACCTAATTTCCCTGGGTAAATTATATTTGACCCAAGGATTTTCATAGAGGGCAAAGATCCTTCCTTCTTCCTTAAGCTGATAAGGCAGACAGAAATATTGAAACAGATGTTTGGGGATCAGACCTTCATCTGTTGAACTCAGAGCTCTCTTGTCCCCGAGATCATATGTCCTCTTCCAAAGTAGTCATTGAGAAACCTCAGTCCTGTCTCCCAGGATCCCTATTCAGGACCTAAACTCTTGTTTTTTTTTTTTTTTTTGGTCTGGTCGTGGGGCCTGAACTCTGGGTCTGGGCGCTGTCCCTCAGCTCTTCAGCTCAAGGCTAGCACTCTACCACTTGAGCCATAGCGCCACTTCCGGCTTTTTTCTTTTT